CCTGCAGGGAAGTATAGAGAAATGGGTGAGATGGAATAGAGATTTGGCTTATGAATATGACATAAAGAGTAATGTACCGTACCATCGAAACAATAGCATCAAAGGGTATTTGACGTTATTGGTTTATAGTGGTGACATGACTTGTTGGTTCCTTTTCTTGGAACACAAGCTTGGATTAAATCTCTCAATTATTCAATCATTGATCAATGGAGACCACGGCTTGTTAACAATCAAGTTATGGGATACACAAGGACTTACGACAACAAAATAACATTTGCTACTATTAAAGTAAGTCTTTCTAGTGATAACATTTTGTTTGTATAAACTTTAGCTTTGATTTCACTACTCTTATTTTTACTAGTGATATGAAATGGACCCTACAAGACAAAGCACAATATCAAACCGGTGACGGCTGAGGTGCCTCCGAGAAGGTGAGCTTGATCTCGTTGAACGTGTCGTAAGCTACGAGTGAGAGCCAGAGAAACCAAAGTAGAAGAAGGACGAAAGCAAACGTTGCACAAACTACAGAGACGAGCACGAGAGCGGCTAGAGCGCCGAACAGATGGCTGGTGTGTCCGAAGATCCTCTTGACTACTCCAGGTCGTAGCCGCACGTGCATGGCTTCTCGGACGCGAAGGACCGCGTAGAAGAAAACGAAGATATAAAAACAGAGGAACTCTGTTTTGTGTGTTTGGAAAACAGAGGAATTCTGCTGGTTCGTGAGCTGTAGTAATCCTATAATACCGGTGTTGACCCATACGATGACTTTATGGACTGCGGCGGAGTATACTGTGAACTTTTCCGTTTCATCACCGGAGTTTGGGAGTGTTTGGTTAATGGCGGAGACAGACTCCATCGTTATTTCTCTGTTTTGTTTTGTTGATCTTTTATCTATGATCTATGCACGTTTTATAAGAAGAGTTTGAGAATATGTCATTTTCATTTTATATTCCATAGATGGATCTTGGTGGTTTTATTTCCCTGTTTTTCTACGACGTCCCTTTGCCCAATTCATATTTTGCGGTGGATTCTTTGCAAAAAGAGATATTATGTCATTTTCATTTTAAACCCCAATTCGACGGATCTTGGTGGTTTGATTTTACTTTATTTTGACGGATCTTGGTGGTTGAGGAAGAGTTTGAGAATACTTTATTTTTATTTTCATTTTAAACCCCAATTCGACGGATCTTGGTGGTTTTATTTCCCTGCTTTTCTACGACGTCCCTTTGCCCAATTCATATTTTGCATACAATATCACCATACAAGAATATATTCATTGAAATATATTCATTGATATTGTATTTCATAGAATCTTATAACTTTATGTGTATTCTTTATTGGAAACTTAACAAGGGTTTCGTTGGATCCGCTCGTAGCAACTCCGTTTGTCCTCCTTTTGACTGCGATTGTCCTCGTCCTATGTCTCTCCACTGAGAATATCACCATACAAGAATACACATAAATTTATAAGATTCTATGAAATACAATATCAATGAATATATTTCATTTTGTAATTTAATATTTACAACAATAAAATACTCAAATATTCTTGTATATATGTACTACTTTTAAATCCATTACTTCCTTATTTTCGTCTTTAATTTAATACAAACT